AGTGACAAAGAGTCGTAGCAGTGCCCATTCGCTATACTTATACAAACAAGGCAACAGTGAAATGAGAGCAAGCATGATTGTGAGATGACTTGCTCACTTAAAAAACATGGACACCGTTTTCAAGCTAGAGTGTTACGGCATCTTTCTTGAGCATAAAAAAATGCATTGAATAAACAAAATAACTGGAGTAGAGGCTCAGTGCACTTGCTAACAGTCACATCTGTTTCCTCCTTTTGCTTTTAATGATCTCCTTCCTTGGTTCTTTGCTATGACTGCGTGATATTACTTTTCTCCCACGGAACGTTTACGGAGAGCGTGTGGCATGATGGGAGGACGCAGCTTCTTAGAACCTCCTAAAATTGCTCTTTTTTTCTTTCAATTTAATTTCATATAATATGTGTATTTGCTATGTATAGGCATTCCTGCTTCACTGTAGTGTCACTGCATTGTTTAAACAGACACAAATATGTGCGTACTATCATTGAGATCCCGTTTGAATAAAATTACTCGGAGCTTCTCTGGATAACCTGTATTATGACCTCCACACAGATGTTATTTAGTTAAACGCAACGTTTCTGGATGACTTACTTTTGACACATGCTCTTTGCCTGACTCAAGCCAGCAGGCAATTACATTTTCAGCAATATCTTGTGTGTGTGAGTAAATGCATGGTTAGGCATTTGTAAAACAAAAATCTAATCATAATTTTACCATGACAAATATAGAATACAGTTTATGTATAAACATTCCAAAATAGTATAATGTAACTAGTGCCTTACATGCATCTTTACAACAAAGTTTATTAACAGCCAAAGTTATCCTGCAGTCTATACAGTCGCCAACCGACTTTTTGGACGCCCAACTTCTGTTTTGTTTCCAGCAACATCTCCTTCTCCATAGAACCAGTGTACAAATGGAATGGGTCAATCAAAATTTAAGGTGGACTAAGTTGTCTAGCTCATTTTTACAAGCAGCCTTCTGGGCACCGTGTAGCTGTTAAAATTAGATATGCATTGACTAGGAACCTAACTTCTGCCATCCAAAAATCAGCCCTTGTTAGGCACAATTGCCTAAGGAGTAGTCAGAAAGTGTCAATGACAACAAGTATTTACTATTAGTCAGTGAGGTTCCTACAAGTGGCTAATCAGCAATCAAGCCCAGACTAGGCCACACAATACAGAAAACTGGTGGCACCATCAGAGTTGTTAGCTTTGTGGGCAACCTCTATAAGCTGCCACATGCATGTCTAGGAGGCTCCCCTGTGAACTCACAGGATGAAAAAGGGGAGACAAATTCTGAAGTGAACTTCTGCAATATAGCCTAAACCGATGGAACGACGACGGTTCCTTTCCTGAATGATATTGACGATGATGATGATAATTATGATGATGATGATGAAGACGGTGAAGATAATCACAAAGGCAGCATGTGAAATGCCACTGCAGCACCTACCTCTGTAACATTCTGGATGTATATCACTTCAGTGTTACTAAGAAAATGTCTGCAAACATCACGCGAATGTCAGCAAACAAATTTTTTATGCTGCAAGCATCGTGAAAAAATACCTCAATTTTTTTCCAAATTGCCCAGCTTTCCTGACATTTTTGTGGCCCTATCTTGGCGTCCATAAGTTTGGTCAGCGACTGTATAAGGTACTGTCTCTTATGATTAATAGAAGGCTCTAGCAGCAACAAAGGTTACGGTCAAGCAATAGCAAACAAACAAAAAGAGAATGGCAAGCAGGTTGCAGGCTACAAGGAAGCAGTTATTTCATGCAAAAGGACAGCACAGAGGCAGCACACCAAGCATACGCCAGGGGCAGCATTGGTGCAGAAAGCAAACAAAATGGCACAAATGTAGCAAACATGCGATTCCTGCTTTTATTGTTTTTAAAACCCACTACGTGTTCCCATGTATCGGTGTCCCATTGACACTGAGGTCATTGGTCAGTTTTTCACTTTAAATGTATATCCTTCAGGGCCTGCACCAAGCTTGCGGCTGCTGCTACCTCCCTTTAGGACCCAAGGTGTGGAGGGTCACTGCAAACAAACAAATGTGTATGCCTGAACATTATACAGCTGGCCCACCCACAATGTCACCGTGCCATGCTTTCAAAGCCGCATGTAGTAGGTTGCTCTTCAACGTGTAATGTTCCCTGGAAAGTTAGAGGAGGTAAGTGCATCCACCGAGAGGCGCTCAACTCTCGGTTAGCAAGATAATAAAGCTGCACTACTACAAGAGACATTAGATTCCAAGTATTTTTATAGAGCATTCGCATTGGCTACAGTGGAAGTCTGCATCGTAAGAATTTAGAAGACAAGACGATAAACTTAACGGCTACAGCACATGGAAAAGTGTAGGAGTAGGCCAGTTGGTGAATCATGATTAGGAAAGGTAACCGCAAAGCCACACAAGACATGAAAAAAGACACCCCCAAGGATGTCTCTTTTTGTGTGGCTCCCCAGTTACCCTTTCCTAATGCTACAACACCTTAAATTGCAGAAACATTCATGAATTACAAGTAGCTTCATGCCACATGTTCAATACTGCTAGCCTTATATATGGTGCCTGCAATAAGAGCACACATAGCCCCTTAAGCTTATGCTTAGTGTTAAGTGAAAATATGAGCACTGCCTGTGCAGACAAGCAACTGCAGCTGGCAATATTATGCAATGCTAAATCGATGCTCATCACAGAGACAATTCCTGTTACAGTTGCCGACCAATAATCTGGACGCCGATAATTCAAACATGAGTGCTTGCTCTGAGAGCTTCAGGGCACAGCCACTTTTCCCATTAACATTACGTGCATGGACAGCCAGAATTTCATATACATTACAACATGCTGTTTGATAACCTGAACCCTGCCTTTATGACCACTAGTCGATTCAGCCACAATGCAACATTGTAATGCAGCCAGTACCTTCTTGGAAGCAGAAGTAGCAAAGCCTAACCCATTGGCAATCACTGACGACTCCCAAGATTCCAGGACAAGCCATTATCAGACTGCAGTGTGTTCTGGGCATCTATTATTTGTTTACTTACACTTTCAATAGTCCCGCAACCTTGGAAAGCTCATTTAGCTGTTGTGACATGTCAAAAATTTGATGTCACTTAGGATCGTCAAGCAGCTTCAAATACTGTGTACTATGTACACGCTTGATCACTGTGCCGACAAGAGTGGTTGGTGATGAAGCCATGGAACAGCTGGATAAGAAATGTTGTGAATGAACCCACTACAGCTGGCCCCTGTTCCAAATCGTTAAAAGAGAGAGAACTTGAGCAGGATATGGCCATTCTTCTATCTATCTCTAGCGATAGCATGAGAATAGTTTAAATATGAGCTGTCCAGATTTGTAACCAATACAGTCAAACCTCGTCAGTACGTAACCACTTTAACTGTACCAACGGTTAAAACGTCGCTGCGACAAATCCCCGACCGAGTCACATAGACACTAGTTCATTCGCGGACTGCTAAAGCAATGGTCATTCGTCCTACACCTACGGTTTCATGCGTACCAATTATGTACCACAACATTTTCTGCCATAAATGTTTACTTCGCCGCTGAACTTGCAGACGCCACAATGTACCGCTAACGGCATTCCGTCATCAACTCATAACTTCCAGTATTGCTAATACTTGTGTTCCTGTTGCCAACATTGTGCAAGTGAAAGCAATTGGTTATATAAACATCTACAACTGTTGAACATATATCTGTGCATGCAACATTTGTACGTATATTTAGTGTCATTTTATAACGAGTTGCTCAACAAAAAATTACAACATAGTCACTTTCCTTGGCATGCTCTGCATAACGTCAATTCACGAGATAAGTGGAATCTGCCGAACTTTTTTTTTTTTTGCAATTTCACTTTGAAGTATTCAAAAAATTCTACGTGCATCTTCCCACGGGGGAACTCGAGTAAATGCGTCGCAGAGTGGTGGGAGCATAACGTGAATGTTGCGTGATTGGGTATAGTTTGGGAATGCATAATTGTTATTTTGCCTGCATTATTCTTACGTATTGAATTAAGGAGAAGCATTGCCTTCAACGAGTGGTGGGACGCTGATGTGCGATCCAGTGCCTACATATACGAGATGGCCAGTCAACAGTTGTGCAGCTAGAGCAATTGGTTTTTACTAGCATTACTAGCAGACACTGCCTGTGTTGGCCTTGCGAGGCGGGAAGGAAGTGGGGGTGGGGGAGGGGGTCTTTTGTGGCTTTTGTTAACAACCATTGTCATCCCATCTTTTAATGCACCCCAGGCACTGTGCATGGTCAGACATGAAAGCCATGTTGACGATGATATGTGATGTTTATTGGTGCAAAGGGCATTTGACATGCAAGCCAGGGAAGCTAATGTCAACCAGGAGGACCTGGTTCAGTACTGCCAGGGTAACATGCCCTCCCCTCTTGCCAACAGCAAGCAGGTGGAAAACCATGAATTTTCAATGAAAAAAATATGCCTTTGAGAGCTCGCACAAACCAGGAATGAATGCACTATAATAAGGTTGGCAGACCTCTAAGTGGTTGATGTCCATCCCAAGATCATTCAGGAACTTTTAACATGCATGGTGTTCAACGCCATTATGCAAGCACACGAAAACAGATTCTTGAGAAACCTTCTGAGTATGCTTCCTCTTTTCTTTTGTAAATGCAATAAGACACTGCTCATTCCACAAAGCCTAAAAAAAGACATTAGAAGGAAAGTGGAAGTAAAAGAAGTATAGCAATAAACATGCAATCCAGCCTACTAAGCATGCATCGGAATGCAATGTGAACCCCATCCATTCATGAATGTCGGTCATGCTTGAGAACCAAATACTCTGCTCCCACACAAAGCCAAAGTGTTTCTCTTCCCCGATCGGGACCACAGCCTCCAGATGAGGTATTCAAGCTGGTTACATTTTCAACACCACACATACCCCAAAGTTCCAAGGATAAAGAGACTAAGCAAAACTGCCAACAGGAACCTCACAACTTACAAGTGGTCACTTACTTGGGATAGGGTAGGTGATGAGGGGGGATAACCCAGAGGAGATCCGGGATTCTGGCCGAGGACCTGTGGTGAATGCGGTTGGTAGTATCCCAGCTGCTGATGTTGCTGCTGCTGTTGATGTTGCTGATGCTGTTGCTGCTGCTGATGCTGTTGTTGATGCTGCTGCTGATGCTGATGCTGTTGCTGGGCCTGCTGGGGACTACCGCCATATCCATCCAAGGAAAGTGCATTTGTGTCCATGGTAAGGCCCTGCCAAGAAAGAGGAAGCAGAAAAAATCTCTTAGTTTAGGTATTGTACAGTAGTTTAAATGGTAAAAGAACCTAACAAAACTCTACCTTACTTTGAAAATGTAAACGAGCGCAGAAAGTGAAAGGCCAGAGTTTCTTTCAATAAAGCGTGCCCTAACTGTGGTGCTAATGACATCTGTGTGACAACATATTTCAAGATACAGTGGAATCTCGATTACCTGACTTTGTGGGGACCACACACACCTGTCCTATACTATAATCCGGGTATTGCATAATAAAAAAACTAAGAATATAGGCACCAACTGTTCAGTCTTCCAAAAAAAAGTCACAGCTTCCCCTCAAGAGCAAAGGAACGAATGCGATAGCAAGAAATTGGAATGTCACACGAAGATCAACGAGCAGCTGATACTTGCCACTTCCCGCTGAAGCACGAAGAAGGGAGCTCCAAGAAGAAGGCGCAGGTATAGACAAAACAAGCGTGAACTAACAGCTATCCTACTTGTTACGCCATTGTGCGAGCAATGTGCTGCAAATGTCGATAACGCAGAACACGACGCTCTCCCATATTTATTTTAAAAAGCAGCGCACAGAATGACCCGTCAACATCCCCTGCACTTGGTGGCATCAGACGCAAGATGGGCCATGGTCTTATTTCTTTTTTCCATTCCACGTCACGAGTGGATACAGAAAGAGGCTTCCTTTTTCGTGCACATCTCCAGAGCAGTTTTCAATTTAAAAAAAAAAAAGCAAAAGCGCTGTGGGGTGGAAAACTCCTTCGAGATCTGCATACCGCCTGCAGTAAATGGTATCTATAAATAGTTTGCTGTTATTATGAGTGGTTAACGCAGTGGATTGTAGAGCGAGGGGTCACTGGTTCGATTCCCCGGTCAGGTTCCTTGGAATTTTAGGGGCGAAGTTCGTCTTAGTCTAACCTTGTCTTGCGTCATGCGTAACCTAGAGAAGAAGAAAAGGGAAATAAAAGAACGCAATATCTCCCAAACAGTATAATAGACAGCGCTGTCTCATAGAAGTACATACAAACTGCAGTTGAGTGAGGATATTCTAGATGGCGCTGTACTGCTACTCTCCGATTGGCTGCTGTGCGGGGTGTGCCTGGGTACGCAGAGAATGAGTGCCTCTCTCAGCCTCCTAGATAGTCGCTGTACGCGACGGATCATTGGTGGGGCATAGACGATGCAGGGTGGCGGGTGCGTTGAAGACGCTTGCACTCTGCTTTTTTAGCTCACGTCTTGTCGGTGTTACCCGCGCGCTGTCTACATTCTCGAACGTGATCTGACGCATGTATGAATGCGCGAATGGACGGGCACACAGACCGATGGAAAGACGGATGCTTTGCCCCACTCATCATCATTCACTCCGTGGATATATAGTGATTTTTTTTTTCTTTTAATTTACTTGTCTTTGTGCCTTTTTTTATGCATACATATACATATATATACATAAAAATACATATCTGGGGCACGGCGGCGATGGAAAAACTCAGCTGAGAGTGTCCATATAATTTCTACCGGAAAAAAAAAAAAAAACGGGTACAGACAACCTGAATAACCCATGGCACGACCCTACACTTCTCCATCAGACGTAGATGAAATTATTTCTAAAAATGGCAGCTAAGGATTTGATCGAAGCAGGCATGAGCAAATCTTTATTCACAACTTTAACAAAATCTAATCCAATGCATATCTTCTTTCTGAAACAGACCCAAAATAATTAATGCCTTTGCATAAAAACGAAACCGAAAACGTACTGACAACAGCCCCCCAGCAGAAGGGTCAGATATAGTGTCATTTCCGTAGCATAATGGCCATGAGCATATTTTGTGGAGTTCGTAGAGTTCGAATAAGATGGATACTTTCGTGAGCAACATGTCCTTCTGCTAGCTCACAGCTTCTGACTGAGCACAACAAACCAAGTGAGGTCTTCAGCTGTATGTCGACCAGGAAAGTTTCCACGAGTTGAAAACATGAAAATATTCTAATCTCAAAGACTTGCTCTGCAACTAGCTCAAGCTACTCTGTGAGGCATAGAGCTCGTCTAGGAAACGGCTCTGAATACACACAAAATTGAGGCGTATTAGGAAGCAATATCAGAGTCAGGAAAACTAGATCACAGGAGCACATTTAACTGCCTGCCATGAGAATAAGTTTTTTATTCTAAGAAAGCACAAGGTACCTGTATCAGTGTTCTTTCTTTGATCATTGACATAGGAGCATGTCTTTCCTTCTCACTCGTGAATATTTGGGTGGCATTAGATTCATACAAAAAGTTATATCTTTCACGGAGAAAATTTGACAGTGATCATACAACGCAGGGTAGGCGGAGGCTGCATTGTATAACTAAAGCTTTTAATACATTATTTTTTTGCGGGTTTCGCCAAGACTAAGTGATCTGTCATGAATGGCTGGTTGCCTCAAAGCCTGGGGTCGTACAATCGAAATTCCACTGCATATATCAGCGTACTTGAGCCAATCACACCCAGTAAGTGCTTCAAAGTTCAGTAGCTCATTTCTAAAGAGCAAGTTATGTAAAGTATGCACATCAATGAACAGTGTGCCAGCATGTGCATGTTCAGTGAGGATGCATCATAACACATGGGAGTTATTCAAGAAAAATGAACCAGGTGAAACACAAGGAAGTCATCGACACCACATAGCAGTCATAGCAAATTCAAAACGAGCTCTTTTATGCTATCGCATTAAAATTGAGGCCGTCCAAATCATGAACTTCAAGCTGGCGTGGCTCAACTATTCTTCCCTCCCATTAAGAAATTAGGGGACCCTAAAGCTTCACCTTTAAAAATTCATCGCAATAGCGATATCTTGTCCCTAGTGCATACTTCAAACAATGAGTGCATGAAGCCTTTTCCAACTTGCTATTTACACACTATCTGGCCTTAAGAGAATAGGCACAGTAGCATGTGTGTCTTTTGCAGTGTGTGACCGGGTTTCGAACCAATGAAGTCATATGATAATCACACGTTCTGACACCTGCTGGCAATGGGGGCTTGTAGCGCACATTACTACTGCAATAGTTAATGTATTGTGAAGCACGCATACAGAACGCATGTATTTGTAAGGCATGAAATTTACTCTCACTGCATTTCCAAGCAGAGGAAGTTATTTTCAATGTATCCACAAGCGGAGCGGAGCTCTGTGGTAGAACACCCGCTTGCCACATGAACGATGCGGGTTCGATCCCCACTCTGACCCAAAATTTTTAATTATTTATTTTATTTGCATCATTCTCAATTTTTCGGTCACACATAAGATGATGATTTTTCGCTCACAACTCAAGACACCGATGCCAACGCCGGAATTTCTGCTATATGAGCTGTTTAACGCTGCCATGTTAACATCTGGCTCACACAGCTTCTCTGTATGGCGCTGCACATCTTCCCTGCACTCAAAGAGAGCGATTTAAGATTCCAGCATCAGCTCTCATTCTTTTACATTGTCTTTTGAAGACTGCTGCCTCTCTGACCCACTTAACCAGCTTCGAAAATGGTTTGTCAGAACTGTTGTTTAAATGCAGAGTTTCGTTTTGCGTGCCTCGACACAGAACGAAATTTCGAACAGTTAGAACAATATGTGAAGAAAAAGAAAAGTTGGTTGGAAATTATTCTACCTTCTGCATGTGCAACCTCTGATGCCTTTGAGTACACCTACCATAAACTTCCATGAATTTCATTAAGGTGCATAATATGAAAGTCAGCAATTCTTAAAGTATCAACCACATCATCTGCAACGCATCAAAAAACCTTTCAAACGTTACCAACTTCACCACTAAGAAAAAGGAGCACTCAGTACTATGACGGCACAGTCTCGGAATGGGTATACACTTAATACAGTTGAACTCCTTTATAAGAGACACTGATGTAAGAGACAACTGGTTATAAAAGACACCTCAGGTAAGAGACAAGAACTACTTTTAGGTTCGAGTCTTTTTCATAAAAGGGTTCAACTGTATCAGAAGCAGTAGTTTAAGAACATGATAGTAGTGTGTGTAGCTCATCGAGTTGAGCAAGTCAGTATACTACAGCAATTTTAATTGAAGCGCTGACAAATACTAGATAGAGCACAGTAGGTCAGTGCCCTGCAAAAGCAGAGGCTCTGCCAGTCAAGGTTTATTCTGTGAGACGCACAAATAAACACCACATGTTACAGCGGCATATGTTTCCTGTTCTATTCAATATAAACAGAGAATTTGGGATGAAATGATCATTTTCTTCACAAAGCATTGTAGCAACAGACGAGAAGTTATGAATCCAGCAATGTGATTTGATTTTCAATGATATTTGACACTAATCATCCTTATTACAGTGGACTCCCATTGAACGAAACTCAGTTAAACGGAAAAGCCACATAAACGAAACTATCCAGGCATGATTGATTGGTCTCATATATATTTAACGGTAAAAAGTTTAGGGTAATCGGAACATTTTTCATAGCTTTCATCAGTTAAATGAAACTAAAACGGCCAAAATCCATGAACGGTGGAAGTGGCCACGGCAGTCTAGCAACCATAGAACAAATGTCAGAGCTAGCCAACTCAAGCCAATCCAGCGATTGCACATGTCTGCGCACACCGAGAAGCATTCGACGCCTCGTCGTGAACTCGAAGATACAGCCTTGAGGAACCTACAGCTCGAGTTCAAGATGAGGACTTGTGCTCAAGTGGTAATGAGGTGGTGTGTGATCCCAAGCCCATTTCAGTGGAGATGCTGTCATCCTGTTTCAGCGCTACTTTGAACACAATGGTGACACAGAGTTCCTGCCCAGCCTTTCAGCAATGCACTCCTAATATGTGAGAAAGCGCTTTCAAAGCAAATTGTTATCACCTCCTTTTTTCCGAGTCAGCAATATTAGCAACATTTTTCTTTCTAATCAACTATAGTAGTATTGCGTATTTCAAAATGTTTCTGTTCAGTCAGCCACAGTTGATGCTTTTGAAATAAAGCCATATTTCATTTATTTTGTGGG